AAATTCCAACTTTGCCCTTGGATATTTTTTATGGGATTCGATCTGGGCCGTCGATTTTTAGATAAGATCGAATCGTGGCCGTCGGATTAAAAGTAGAGAGAGAGGTAGGATGGTAATTTTGCCTAGGGGTAGACTAGGCTAGGCTTTTTCTTTCTTTCTTTTTTTCTTTTTCTTTGTTTTCCTCTCTTTTCTCTCTCTCCCTCTCACTCTCCCGATCACCCTCTCCCTTTTTACCTTCTTCTGGCCGTGAGCTTCCCTCCCCCTCTCCCTCACGTGAGTTGGCCAACCAGCAGGCCAATCGTCGTCCGTTCGTCACCGTTTCGTCGAACCGTCGCTCGCCTTTTTGCCGTGTCGCACCACCACCGCCACCGCCGTCTCTCTCCCACATTTTTCCCACCGAGAAACACCCTCACCAGCCCCATCTCAGCCCAGCACAGCCAAGAAAGCCAGCAGCCAATCGCCGCCGTTCGCCGCCGCTCGTGACAGCCGGTGAGTCGCCGGTAACCCTTACCGCTTGTTGCCGCCGTCGCTGCTGCTGTTTGTCCTCTGTCCAGCCACCGTTGAGGCCTCGATTTCGCGTAGGACCACAAGTAAGTGATATCCTAACCCTCACCTAGGATAACGGGTAATTTCGGGTTAGTTCGGGCCCGTTTTAGCAAGTTTTAGGGGTTATTCGTAGAGAAATGGTTGGACTGCTTTGGCTGAGCTATTTGGATGAAATTGTGATGATTTTTGAGGTGCGTTGGAGGTTAGGATTGATTGATTTTGTGATTGGAATAATTACGAGTGATTATTGTGACTTATTGCGTGAAAAACGGGCCTAAATGTGCCGTTATAGTGATTTTTCTGTGGTGGCCGAATCACTGTTCATGCTGTGGCTGAATTGATGCATATTGGTGTTTGAGACATAGTGCGTGTTGGTTTGAGGTTGTCGGTAGGAGTACGACGCCCGTGAGTGATGAAATTTGGCTTAAAATGCAAAAATTCGCGTTAATTGTGCACGTGCGAATTGAATTGGTAAAATTGTGAGTTGGCATGGCTTACTGGTAGCCTGTATATGTTGGATAACGTGTGCGAGTTGGTCGTATGAAATTGGCATGTGATTGGGTGATTGATGTGTTGCACGATCATTAAATACCCTGAGGCGTTTTTACGCGGGGTCCAGAAAATAATTGGAAAATGTGTGCACGTGTGATAATATAATCCCTGATGCATTTTACGCGGGGAATTGAACCCGTCCTGAGGCGTGTTACGCGGGACGATGCTTAGTTTTACCGGAAGACCGCCAACCTAAAGCGTTTTACGCGGGTTGTGCCGTAAAAAGGAAATCGGTGTTGCACCTGAGGCGTGTTACGCGGGCTAGAGACACTGAGCCTGAGGCGTTTTTACGCGGGCTATAGAAGTGTTGTCCAACCTGATGCGTGTTTACGCGGGTTGTGTTATAAAAAGGGAGATCGGTGTTGCGCCTGAGGCGTGTTCGTTTACGCGGGCTAGAGACACTGAGCCTGAGGCGTGTTCGTTTACGCGGACTATAGAAGTGTTGTTGGACCTGAGGCGTGTTTACGCGGATCAGAAATGAATTGGATGCGTGTGCCTGAGTGAAAAGATGAAAGTATGATATTGTGTCTATTATGCAAATATTGGTGTGGTTTTGGTTTGAATGGCATCTTTGAGGGCGGCATGTTATCGGTTGTTAATGGTAATGCTTGATTTAGCATGTGAAGTTTCGTGTGTACCAAGTTGAGATGTTGGTGCCTGCGATTGTTCTGGTTTACTGATTGTGTGATTGGCGTGCTTGAATGTGACCAGAGATACGTGTTAGTCTAGGTTGGGTTTAGGGTGTTACTTGCTGAGATGTGATCTCATGGTTTTACTTAAAACCATTTCAGACCCCAGACCTGGATAATGGCTAATCAGCTGCCTCACCATTTTGGAATACCAATGCTTTTTGACCACTCAACAGTAGAGTTCCCTGTAGATGAACAGTATACTTGGATTAAGCACACCAGTGAGCTTCAGGTAGACGTAGGTGTCCCAGAATGGCAGACTCACACTTATATAGCCTGGACTTTTCGGGATGGGGCAGAGGAATTCTGGCCTATTAGAGGTTTTGATGCTCCCTACGATGCATTTGGGGACTGGGATCTTTTTACCATTCCTCCCCTGGATGGTGAGTTGACTAGTACCGGCCCTGGCCCTGCGCAGTCGGCCCCTTTGATTACCCCCCGCTGAGTCCGCACCTATGGTGGCTGAACCACAAGCTGAGCCCGAGGTACCTTACCAAGGACCGATTCCAATGGATCTAGGCTCAGACGATGAACCCGTAGAGATGGAGCCAGTGGAGAATCCAGAGGCGGAGCCCGAGGAAGAGCCCGGGGAGGAAATCGAAGAAGAAGAGCCCGAAGCGGAACAGGAGGAAGAGCCTGAAGAATTGGAACTTGAGGATGAGGAACCGGTTGAGGTCCCGTGGGAATCGGGAGATATAGATGATCCCATTGTGATCAAAGCTGATACTGAGCCTGCTGAGTCTTCGGAGTCTTTGGGGAATCAAACTGACATCGATGAATCTGACTTTGAGTGGACCCCCTCCTCTAGAGCGACTAGGGGTTAGTTAGGAGTTTAGGGGTTAGACCTGTTTTTGGTGAGGAGCCTTTTTGGACAAAGGGTTAGTCTACCGGGCCGCTAGTCCCTTTTTGTTATTGGCGGTCGTTAGTTTCGGAAGTTTGCAGGTGTGCTAGCTTGTAATGGATATTGTATATATTGCGGATGTAATATAGTGTTTGATGGTTTGGTGACTTGTTTCTCCCTATTACCCCATGATTATATCGTCAGGGATTTGTGTGATCGTTTCCGCTGCATTTGATTCTGATGTTTTGGGTTGGGTCGGCGATGTTTCCTGGGACGTCGCACTAATTCAACCGAAGAGGGATGTCGCAAGCTCGATGGGGTTCGGGGCGTGACAAAACCTGTGATTTCTTGCCTTGTGCAAGAGAAGATTATTCGAAATCCAGGACATTTGATGCACCTAATGATCTCTTGCAGGAAAACCAATCAAGCAATAATTATGTTCTGGACTCTAGTCATTGTGCATCGGACAATGCCATTTGAAAACTTTCATAGCTCTCTCTCTCTTTATATATATGTGTAGATTCACTTAGTGCTCAGTGAATTCTGAACAGTTCCTCATTCGTTGTAAGCCAGCTTTCCTTCTCCTTTAACCGTAGTCAATATATACTGGCAAATAGCTTTGATTTTTTGTTCTTTCTTATGATGCATTCAGAAGACGTACTCATGTAGATGTTAGAATGAAATACGACTCTTACAGTCCAACTGTTCTTCGGATGAAAAAAATGGAAACCGTGTCGTTTTCTATGTTGACTATAGAAATAGGGTTTATATTTCAGTAGAAGTGCAGATTCACAATCCGACTCCGGGACCTGATACTATAATGAAAGAGTCCCGGAATTACCATTTCTTCATCATCTGTCCGGCGATTTGATTTGGCAAGTTATGGTTTTAGATCTAATTGCACTGATTGAGAGGTAGCCATGCAAAAGTTGCAAGGCGTGTTGATTGGCGCATAACATGCACTTTTCTACATATAAATCACACATAAATATCCTTAATTAATCATCATTAAAACTTTCATACAGGAGAAAACATCTGAACAATCGTTAACAGGGTGTAAAACGATCCATAAGCAAACAGAGAGGGTCCTCGGACGAGGTGGGCTCTCTCTGGACGGCTTTGCCTTCTTCCTGTCTTTCTTCTCTTCAACTTTACCTCCTTCACCGGCGACTTCCCGTTCATGCTTTGATTTGTGCAAGATTAGCTTCCTGAACGAAGCCTTCTCTCTCAGCTTTCCCAGCTAATTCTCCCACACCTCCACCGATTCAGACATTTTAACAAAGGAACACTTGTTGATTGGAAACAGCACGAGTTCTTGATGGGATCGAAAGTTTGGATGTTTACCCATTTTGGTGCGTGGATATCAGAAGAGAAAGCAAATGGGTACTAATGAAAGAAGAGAGAATGATGGGTTGGTTGTAGAAGACCATAAAATGGAACAATGACCGGTGTGCTTCGGAGACCATGAATAGTGTCGAAATGTCAGGGACAAGGTGAAGGATATAATTCGAGAATATTCTACAATAAAGGCTTCGTTCATCTTGGGGCGGATACATTATCGGATTGTGAATGCCAAGTTAAATACATGTCTGAACCCAAGTTTTGATATCGATAAGATATTAGTGTTTTTCGTTTTTGGTATTATTTCACAAATCATTCTTGATATTGGAGAAAAATTATTTGTGAGCTTTAAGAAATTCCAACGCAAGGTTGAGGAGGATATAGCACTTGAGTTCACTTATCGGGTTAAGAAATCCGTCCTAAGGTGATGATACTCTCTTATTTCGGAAGGCAACAATTCGGAGCGATAGCTACTATCATATTTTCAAGTTTGCTATCGTCCACTGAAATTCACCAAGGACGAACATTTAGTCCATGGTTTTGGGTCATGGATCCATAGTTATTTGCCCAACGGAGCGCCTTTTCAAGGGAAAAATGAGATGTTATTGCACTTCCTAGCAAAGTACATTCAAATTAACTTTGGAAAAATTGCGGTACTGTAGCTGTGCCTGTGTTTGTGTTTGGTCCCAACCCAGTGAAATTGTTTAATCAACGGGAAAAGTGAACCCAATTCAATCTGGGACTGCCTAGGAGTAGTAGGACACGCGCATTTGCAACGACCCACCAGCTCAAATGATATCTCTCCAGGCCACTGTTTCAAACTTCCGAAATCACTTAGATCATGACTAAGAGCCTGCAAAATGGCTCAAAATGCCGAAAATGAGATTCATCATCTTGGAAATGTGGGAAGGTGCAAATATAGGCAGTCCCTACACGTAATTAGCACGTGGAGCCTTGGACTATCTTATACATTTGTAATTTCAAGGAAACATAAAGTAAGAAAACTCAAGAACAATCAACGTTCTTAGTCAACAAAAGAAGCACGTTTCTTGTAACATAACTCGGGAAAGGAAGCATATACAGAGATAATTCCAAACCCAAAATGAAGCGAAAGCATGACTGAGCCAAGCCAAATAAGGTCTGTGGTTCAAGGGCTAAAACACTCGACAAGCATACACACTGAGGCCTCGGAGCAGAGGACAGCTGGTGACCTGACTAGCTTGACTCGGCCGAAAACCGGAGACAGCCAACCCGAGCTCCCGGTCTCCGCTTGACTGGCTTCGCTGGCCTGAGTTTGCTGAGCCAGCTGAGAATATGGCTCGACCCATTTCACGTAGCTTCCTGGTCCACTTGTCCACAACCTCAGACATGGTCAATTTCTTCAGAATTATCAGAATTGAGTTCACTGAGTTGAACTAAGCTCACACAGAAGTGGAGAGAGACAATAACTGAGGAAATCGAAGCTGTTTGAGTTGGTTGATGATGTTGAGATGTGAGCGGGTCTTATTATCTGAAGTTGGGTTTTATAAAAAAAGAGTTGACTGAGTAGTTTTGGAGATAACATGGTTGATTTGGTACCTGTGTGCTCTCGGTGATCGTTGGTTGGTTTTCTGCAACTCTTTTTGTTTCCCTCTTCTTTTGTTGCTTCAAGAGGGACAAAGGAGAGGAAACCAGTACGAGCAAATGGTATCGTCTTATTTACGTTGATGGATTATCAAATCCATGTAAGGCTTTTTAAGAGGTCAATAATACCTGACAAGTCGTCCACTGCCCGCTGCCCTAGGCCATATATATTATCGGTATAAGATAAAAAGATCTGACAGTTCTCTTATGTAGGCTGGAACCATATCTGGTAGTGACTGTAATGTCGTCGTTGCAATTGCACATAGCCCATGGAAAATTAGTCTTGTAATCCACTGTGCAAAATTAAAATAATTTGAAAAGCCAAGAAAATCATTTGGCTTCGGGATCTGCACCTCCATACTTACAATCAAGATATCTATTATTCGCTGGTAGATGGATAATCATTCCAACCATCGGATACACTCCAAGAAGAAGGTGTCAGCATCACAATCAACAATTGCAGGAGGGCAGGAGATGAATCTCTAACAACTCAGCGAATAACTGCCGATTGTATTAAGCGAACTTTCCATTTGAAATACCTGATAACACTGATTCAATGGGTGGAAACAATTTCATCCGGTTTGGTGAAGACATACTCCAACCACAAGGTTCCTAACACAATCCAGTTGCTGATTACTCGGCCCACAATTGCGTCATTGCTCTAGAATGCAAGAGGAACTGGAAGAACCGAAGTGCTCAACATGCAGCTATCACCCATTTTCACTGAACTAGAGAGATTGTCCTAAAATTGAATGTGTGGACCGGCCTTACACCATAATTCTCCTGGTGGGCCGCAACCGTTCCTGCGTGATACAATGAATTGTTCTGACCACCGTTCTTGTGCGATACAACGGCCCGTTCCTGGGAACAGTAATCCTCCCTTTGGCTGCTTTCCCACTGGAGGAGCCCTGGCCACCATTCTCCAGCCAACGGACTAAACCAATCAGGAACTAGGAATGCTCCTCCGGCTACAAAACGATACCCAGCTGATGGAGCCCGCAAAATCAAATGGCTCTTCTTCAAGTCCTCACACTGCCATCATCAGCAAAGAAAAACCAGACGAGAACTTCCGGTCGTGTGACTCCGGGAGACCACCAGTTCCCGGGGCGAGAGGAGAGGCGTAAAGCACTCCCATCACATAGCATCTCATGATGTGAGTCCAAGTACCTTGGAGCTTTATGTCATAAGCGAGGATGAGCAGATATTGTACTCCAAGACCAAGCCCAAACCACATTGCCAAATTGACCTGGCAATCAGTGTGCTGCAACTCACTTACCTTACCCGGTGAGAAATGAGACAAGTTTGATCGGCACTTTGACACACCATTTGCTTATTTGCAGTGTTGCTCGAATCCATTTTGGCTCCCTTGACTTCAGCAGTTGGAATTTGCATGCAAATGCAGTGTGCTGCACATTGCACCATGGGATGTTTTGAGAATGCAGCTCCCCAAATCCCCTCCGAGTTGCTGTCGTCAAAAACTCAAATCCACGTTGTCCACCCTTCAAACATGTTGCAAAGGTTGTCCACGCTAGTAGCTTGGTTGATTAGACAATCCACCTGCTCCGCCGTGCTCACTTCTCTGAGAACAAAAATATATTGCTGTTATTACAAGATCGACACAACATATGAAGAATCGACAAAAGTTTTACCAGGTTTCATCAATATCTCGGCCATCTAGTTTCATCTCCATGCGCCTCAAATACTGACAATGCGTGAGCATTTTTACCTATAGATGACCGAGAATGTAAAATACAAGGTTTTGAGCCAAAGATGATAGTACTTCTTGATATATATGAGCCATAAAAAACAATAACAGAGAACCAGAGAAATAATATCAGATGAACAAATCCAGAAATGAAAGAACAAATTGAACTGATTAGAACATTAGACAAATTGAACTGGGTGAAAAGGAACCCACTCCCTTTCACCGATATGTACTTGCATGTGCCCAAATTCTCGCGGTTAAAAACAAAAGATAGGTTGAAAACGTATCTTGCAATCATCAAATGTTAAAACTTAGACAAAGCAATGACTATATTTATAAAAAAATAAAAAAGCTTCTGCAAAAGCAAAACACAGCTTAATTGGATCCAAAAAACTCGACTTTAGAATACATTTCCTGGTGAGGACCATTGACTTCATCATCTCCATGCACCAAGGCTTTTTCAAGCATACCTTTCAACATGTCCAATTCCACCAACAACGAGTCCCTTCCTTGTTCCACGACATCATTATCACCATGTCGCGGCAAGAAAACATAAGCTATGGCACAACTTGCCGTCACTACATGACTTGGATGCAAACAGACCTGGGATACCAGTGCATCAAGTTGCAGTATTTGTGCACAGATGATGACGGAAGGCCAAGATTCTGCAATGATAGGAGCTGAATATTCGTCTTCAAGACTCCGCGAATGTGAAATGAACTTAATTTTCCAGCTCCCACAGCTGAATTACCATTGTTCATTCTCACGCTCTGGAATAAAGTATCTATTGCAAGTGGATACAAGGTGGAGAAATTTTCGCGTAGAATTTCCACCGAGAGAGTCGAGCACTTCGACATGTCCCCAATCCATTTTGACCATCCAAATCTCTGTCCGAGCAAATTTGCCTAGCAGCTGTGGAAGCATCTTGTTAAGTGGATCGCTTATTTGCCCGAGAAGATTTGCTTCAACCCTGAAGAAGTGGACCGCAGAATGGTAGAAAAACGAGAAAGCAGGGCGAGCAGTCTTCGAAATTGTTGTGGAGTACCCAGACCCCATCCTGCAGCAGCGCATCCATGTCACCCTGGAACTTCGACGTTAATCCAAGCGAGAACTGCAAATTACCGACCCGATGCTTTTGGAATTGCACGAACCAATCCACAATAACACATCTATCTGATTCTCCGAAGTCCGGTATCAATGCCCAACCAAGAAGCAGATCCACGATGTCCACAAAATGGGTTTGGGAGCATCGAGAAAACTTTAGTGAGAACTGAGTTATAATGCCAAGAGGCGGTGCAATAAACTCCACGAGGTTCTTGCATCTTCGAGTAGCTGTCGGCATGCTTTGAGAATTGGTCGAGCATATCTTTCAATTCCATTAACATCCCCGACGTTAAGAAACTCCCGGAGGCTGTCCAGCGCCAGTTCCGCAGTACCATCTCCAGCATTCAAGTTAGTGAGCGATGGTAGTGACCAGCTAAATGAACCTATCCACCATAGTACCAAGCACGACATGGTTGTCTTCCATTTAATGCGTATAGGAAACGAAAAAGCTACAGCGCAGAGGGCCCCATATGCCGTGGCAGCTAATTGCCTGACCGAGTATGATCTGCTCGGGAAGTTGATAAAATTACTATAGCTTCTACTACAGTGCTACCGGTCTAGTTGACAGATTGTGCAGTGCATCAATCAAATAGGAAAGGTGGTCGAGAAATGAGCAACAACAACGATAAGAGCAACAAACTAAACCTCATCCCACCAAGCGGGGTCGGCTATATGAATCCTTTTGCTCGATTTTGTATCAAGTCTAAGAATAGCATTCTCTAGAAAGGCATGAAATCGGTCACTCAGGTGCTTTCTAATTAAAGCGATCGCCTTAATAAACGTGAGGTCCAAGACAATGGCCAAGCTGCCAAGTTATTGTATGAAGTAACAAGTGAAAATCAAGATCATTCAATTCGTTTCAAGCTCCTACAGATTTTATGCCTTTGGAAAGAGTACTGATTGCAATTGGGGGATTAGGAATCCCCCAATTGCATCTATTTAACCTATGAGATCATATTTTAGACGAGGGCCAAGAAACAAAAGTGCCGGCAGGATGCCAAGATTTATCTCAAAGCTCAATATGTTTGAACTAAAATTACAATTTTAGTTTGGTAAGCGCATTACTATATTGCATAAAACCACGTGATAGACATTATACAATGTCTTAAATATTTAAAAATCCAACTATATTATATGCATTGATTTAATGAAGAGTTACTTAGAATGTGCTAGCCATAAGATCCATAGCTAAGTCTTGATCGAGTTAAGATATGCATTATTTGGGCAAGGATGGACCTTTTTTTTTTATGCCTTTGGACAAAAAGTCCAAAGAGCTCTTTTCAAAACGACAAAATGTTCCATAAAGTCAAGTAGGCATTCTTTTTACCCCCTATCTCTTTTAAGAAATTATGTCCACACGTGATCCTACCAAACCCACAAAACGAACGAGTAAGCCGAACTTGTTAGTTCACTTGAAAGTTTTCAAGAAAGGATCAAGAAATGTGTGGATGTTGAGATTGATGAGGAAAAAATCTTTTTAGATCCCGAAAATCATGAGACATTACTCTCAAAAAACAGATGAATGAGTGATCTGTTAATTGCGGACGATCTACCTTGGTTTCAAGATAGTTTATACCGTTTTTTTTTTAAAATGTTTGATCAAACAATAAATAATATCTACACACATGCAAAGTATATTATACACAGGAACTATTCTGTAATCTTTACTATGTAAATTAAAGCAATGTATTCCATAGAGAATGTGAACATGCATAAAGAAATATTGATCTTATTCGGCACATAATCCTGAAACATGGAAAGTTCAAAAGGAAAAATTAGCCGGCCCAAACATATCGAAATTCGTATTGTCCCTGCTTCATGTTAAATGGGCCTGCTTTCTTATAATCAAGGATGACTACATAGTTTTAAGGAACCGATAACCCAACCCGACTCGAACAGTAATTTTTTTGGCTCGGGTGCTATGCAGGTCGAGTCTCGAGTCGAGCCACAAGAAAACACATACCCCACGTGTCTGGATCGAGCCAGGGATCAGCAGGGGACCAAGCCGTACCGACCCATTGACATCCGTATTGGCTACTAGCACCTCGGTGTGCCAGGGACAACTAGTTCGCCATCTTAAGATTTCATGATCCCGAATGGTGTGAAGCAACCATGGCTTATATCGGACGTTCTTTAACCGGTCGCCTCTCTCCACCCTTTTACCGATAAAAGAAGAAGGTTGGTGGAATGGCGAAATAATCGACCAAAGAGATGAAAACTAAACCCTACGCACTGAAAAAAACTGAAAGGGCCCAACCAAGACTGCACGTGGGTGGCTAGTGGTTGCGGGCACCGGATCCAAGAAGAATGCCCCCACTTCCTCCCTTCCTACCCCTCTCTCCTCCTTCGACACCATGCCTGTTGAAACAACACTTCAAAGAAAAAATATTTGTTCTTTAGTAAATTCTTTGCTGGTTGCTCCGATACCGACTCCAAAGTTAACTTTAGTTTTTCCTCCATCGTGCTAATTTAATCTAGATGCCTTTGATGCCCATGACTAGATTGGATTAATCAATTGGTTCCTACTGAAGATCCTTTAATTTTGTCCATAGAAATCTAAAAGAATATACCGCAACGAATGCCAAAGAGATACTCCGTTTTTATATCGCTTAGATGAGGAAACAAGCAGGCTCCAAAACAATTTAACGCTTGAATTGTCAAATGTTTTCAAATTACAAAGTGATTGGCCATGTCAAGTGTCATCAACTTATCATTCGTTGACTCACCAAAAGCATTCTCCGATTTGTGTTGTGTCCATAACATCGAAATTTGTAAATTCGAAATTACTGATGAGATGTTTGTTACGAATTTTCGTTGGAAATTACAAATTTTTTGATAAAAATCAATTTTTAAATTTTTTGAAAATTTCATTTCAATTTTTTTGGGAAAATGGCCCTCGCGGGGAGCGGAGCTGGTGGGGGGGGTGGTTACATTCGAATTCGCGATGAGATGCTTGTACTCGATTGTAAATCAATTAAACTGGGTTCGACTCTTTTCGAGCACAAGTGTGTCGATTACTTAGTCAATTGAACTTGAGCTCGAACATGCTTGACTAATGTAAGCCACGAGTCTAACAAAATGAAAACTTTTTACATTTTCAATGAGTTCATCAATCAACCTTGATGTGCTAATTAACGTAAATCAATTTGATAAAATGCACATTGATCTGGGTCTTCAAATTAAAGATGAGTTGTCTCTCAGGTTACAACATTGGTGGTCCCAATAAAGGTGAATCATCATAATCTTTTGGGGGATAGCGGAAGGAGAGGGAGGTAAACTTGGTAAATTCAAGTAATTCGACAGGATCCTAACCTAACGGTAACCAACCTCCCGAAGAATGGCTCCTCAAAGTTGAAGGATGGTAGAATCACCTTAGTCATCGGAAGAAAACTCTTGTCTTTCAGGATGCGTTCGTTTCACGGAAAATGAATGATTTGAAAAATATTGTTCTAAAAATGATTGCTTATATCGTAACCAATGAAAAATGATGTAATTATCGTGAACACTTTATGGCTGAACACTTTTGTAAACGATGAAAATATTTTTCGTTTATTTATTTTCGTAAACTATAAAAAAATATTTTTCGAATTAATCATTTTCCTCGACACAAACGAAATCTTAAATTTGTTTCGATCGTCTAAGTTAATAATGGGGCAAGTTATCAGCTGAAATGGTTTTGCTTTAATGTTCAAACTCAAGGGGTTGATCGAGTGGCCGAGAACTCTCTTTGGATCCGATAGCTACCAATTTGAAATCACGACATCTACCATTCAGAGTTACGATAGGAGCCACACCTTCTACCAATAGAGTATTACCCGATATGCACACATATGGTTTGTGTGAATGTATTTACGGGGATTAGTAAAATGAATTAATGAGAAATATTTCTATTAATACGTAATACCAACAAAGTATGCCTAAACAGTCTTGTTGTTGAAGAAAACATTTTTCATTAACTCGTTTTCCCAAGTAATGTCAATTATCAAAGTCAAAAAGTCCTTTTTAAATTCTTAATTTTTCGTGACGCGCTCTTTATACGTGTTTTACTCTTCGCATTGCAATTGTTTACTGTATCGGCGTGCTAAGCTTATCGAAGAGATGAAATATAATCAAGATATATCTTTTTTATCAGAGGTTCTATCGCACAAATTTATGAATGAGTTCCACCGATTGTTTAAGGGCTCGATCTTAATTTTATCAATTGAAAAGAAAATGCGTATAGCGAGTTGGGACCGGGATGGAGCAAATAGAACACGACAGCGCATGACTTTCCGTAGTTGTCTACCCTTCTATATCCACTGTCGGTGTTGCTGCTGCTGCTGGTCACCGAATCTCCTTCCTTCGTTCTGGGATGTTTGTTCTGAGCGAGAGCCAAATATGGCTCGCTCCACGACGGAATTTAGACGCAAGCCTAGCTTCTCCTTTTACTTTTCTTTTTTCTCTTTTGGCTGCTTCCTTTTATAAATTGATTATCAAGAGATAAACCATGTCAACACTATACAATCCTACGTGGCGTCCGCGACACCGAGCCGGGTTGCCACGTCATTGTCTTCACAGGAAAATAGCCAATGGCAGGTGCTAGTTAAGAAAATCGGATTCGGAACTTAGATATATATGTCTGTATATGGTTTCGATGATAACCTAAAGTTCGAGCTAAGAGTAAGATCGATAAGACAAGTCGGGTCAATTCCTTTTCGTCTTGGCGAAGAATCACGGACCGGTAGAAATGTATGCACCCAGCGTTACCCAAACTTGAGAAAATTCACCTGCCCCATGTACTTGCCTCATAAAGTACATGCCAACTAATCGAAAACATTCATATGCGTGTGTGTGTGTACCGACGCCAATAAAGACACGAATCGCCGGCCGTCCTCTCAGACCGTACCAAGAGGAGGGTTTCAAAAAATGAAAGCACAGAGCAAATTTTCGTTCTTTGCAGGGGACTGGTCATCTTGAATGTCCGCTATTCTCACGGGCACCAAAGTTCCCGCCTGCCACGGTCTCGGTCCGATCAAAATTCTCCCCGCAAAGTTTCGAATTCGGGCTGTGAGTGTCAGTGAGTAAAACTCTAATTTCCAGCCCACGTTTTTTTCCACAATAAGCAAACGCGGAAGCCATCGCTGGCCGTAGTTAAGGAGATTCGATTCAATTAGCAATGAGGAATGACATGACTCTACGAGCAGCAGCCCTCGTCAGTATGGCCGAAGGTGGGGTACGAACGGGCACGTTCAATTAGTCATGAAATCAAGCCCCCTTCTCTCTCTCTCTCTCTCTCTCAGTGCACAATTATGGAAAATGGGTAAAAAAGGAGGGGGGTCAAAAAAAGAAATTTCGAAAGAAAACGAAAGATGGGTTTATCTTTTTCCTCTCTCTTTCTGTTAACTTTGTGAAGGGAAAGAGCCAAGGATGGCTTTACGGTATGAATGGGGGATGTTTTGGTGCCAATTTTGGGGGGGGAGTCGTCCAAATTCGTCGCCCCAAAATTCCGTAAGGAATGATGGGAGCGAGTCTTGCTAGCACCGTGCGACGCGCACGCACGCCGCAAGGGGCTGATCTCTCAGCAATGATCATCCACATTTCCCGCAACAGGAAAGCTGCACTTTCGCAGTCTCTCTCTCTCTCTCTGTACCTGTGCCTGCCTGCTGAAATGAAATAACGTAAAAGGGAAAATGCAAAAGAAGAAAGAGAGGGATCGCCTCCCCACAACACACCCTATGGGAAACCGGCACAGAGCAGAGGCGAAGGAATCTCGGGACACCATGTGCCGCCCCTTAGCCGAAGCAATCATAGGGCTAAGTGACAAGCGTCCTCCTTTCAGTTCCCACCCACTATAAAAATGTCCCGAAAGAAAGACGGAAGAAAAGATAAGAAAGGATAAAGAAAGGAAAGGGGGGCCCGCCTCGCGACGTCATAATAAAATAACCAAAATTCGATGAATCACCTCCCTTCTCTCACTCGAGCAGTAGTATTTGCAGGACCACCCCTTTTGCCATGACACCTGCAAAACCCTCTCCCGCTCTCTCTCTCTCTGGAACGGTTAAGGAGTGGCAAGGTCTACAATTGAATGCTTTCGAAGAAAGAGAAGGGTGGGCGAACTGCGCACTTTGGGAGACAATTTACTGAGCAGCGGAAATAGGAAAGATTCTTCTCTCTCTCTCTCTCCCGCTCCTCCCCTCCTCCCCCTTTTCGCCTAACTTTGCTCTCCTTTCTTTTTTCGTCCCCCTTTCTCGTCCAATTGGGTGTGCGTACTTGCGAAGAAGGCTTTCGGAATGATACGCACACTTCGATTGGGCGAAGCACGAGCCACAGAGAGAGAGAGAGAGAGAGAGAGAGAGAGCGAGCGAGCGTCACATGGATGTGTACTCCTCTCTTCCCCATTCCTTCCTACACGTGTCCGTGGCTTACAGGGCATGGCGCGTTCGCCTGCCCCCACCAACCACCCCCGCCCGCCACCACCCTCCTCCTCCTCCTCCGCCGCCGCCCAACCCCCAGTGTTCACCGCCCCTTTTTTACCTCGTTCAAGTAAAAAAAATTTTCTTTCACCCTCCGAATCCCCCCAAACAAATTCAGCACCGACTAAAAAAAAGAAGAAAAAGAAGAAAAGGAGGGAATGTACTTTGCGCTGTTTTCATTGGGAAGAGAGCGGGGAAGTGGACAAAGAAAACAATGGAATGAAAGGAGGGGGGGGAAGGAAGAAGATTTCGCAGAAACCATAAATGCAACAAAAGGAGCTGATGAGTGGGTACTAGGAAAAGAAACACAGAGAAGTAGCAGAGAAAGAGACGCGGCATTTGGGGGAGACGGGGTAAATATGGGGTGGGGGAGGAGAATTCTGTCGTCGCGCACCGTCTTTCTTGATTGATGCTGAAAAGAACACAAAGTTTTCTTCTTCTTCTTCTGCTGCTTTGTTTTTTTTTTTTTGTTTTGGACCCGCGACTTTTCTTTTCCCAACTTTATTCGATAAGAAGAATGACAATTTCTCGTGTTTTTTTTTTCTGGGGAGGTTTTTCTTGCGGGAGATGGGGTTCTTCTGCTCCGTATACAAACCGTACCAGAGAACAGAAACTCCATCGCTTTCCCTAAACCCACACTACTACTACTATTACTACTACTACTACAAGAACTGTACTAGAAGATGGAGAGAGAGAGAGAGAGAGAGAGAGAGCGAGAGGGGGGGAGGGAGGGGCTGTACAGGAAGGGAGGTTAAAATGAGCTGACCTGATTGACTAGATTCAAGGAACTATTCGGAGACGAAGTACCCCTCTAAAACAGTGACAAGTCATGGAAGAAAGTGCATGCCATGCCCCCCACCCCCTGACGACGACGACGATGATCAGTCGCTTCTCCCTTCCGGCGGCTTGCTCTCTTCTATCCGAGACCACTCGTAGCGTCCTTTCAGCGGCTCTTCCTTGACAAAATCGAAGTTGTACCTGAAAAAAACACAACCCAACAAGTTCCATGCTCCCCGTCACGCATGTAACACAACGTCGCAGAAAAAAAATTCTCGCGGCTTTTTCCGCGAGAAAAACGGTGGGAAAAAAAGATGGCGCTCAGAAGGGTGAACCAAGAATTCTGGGCAACTTCTAAATCCCATTGGAAAGCTGAGAGAAAAGAAAGCGAACGTGAAGGGCTATGGTTTTCTTTTTTAGCTTTGTTTCGACTCACTTCTCCTTGAAGTTCTCGAGAGCTTCGCTTTTCTCCGCCATGGCGAAGAAGTCGTCGAGCTCGGCCTGCGTCGGCATTTTCGGTCTCCAGCGAGAATTGGCCTCCGACGTCGGCTTGGAAGCCGAACCCATGTCGTCGGACTCCGCTCCTCCGACCTCGCTCGACGGCGTCCTCTCTCTCCTGCAGAAATTTCACGAGTTCAGACGATGAAGAGAGAACCAGAATTCCAAAAGGTAACTGGAGAAGCGAAAGAAGCAAGAAAAAGGGTGAAGAGAGCCGTTTGTTTGTGATTCAAAAGTCGCGGAACTGTTTAAAAACTCGTAGGATTCCAGAAGAAGGTTCGAATTCTAGCTCAAACACATGGATCACCCACCTCGCACGGCGGCGGCGGCGATACGTGGAAGCGTCGGCTCCGTCGCTGTCCTCCTGCAAAACCGGGCATGTGAATGATCAGCCTCTTCTCTCGCACTGATATTACACGCGATTCGAATCCACAACTTAAAACACCGTGGATCAGATGATATATTATCTCGTGCAATTCCTAGGATCTTCACCTCCAGATCTACGAAATCGATCACCTCCTCCTCCACCTCGCTCGATCCGTTGCTCGAGCAGCACGACACCGAGACGAACTCGCAGGAGCTAGGGCCGCTCAAGCAGCGATCCTCCTCCCCCGCCGCCGCCGCGCTGCCGCCCCGGACGAGCGGGCGATCGCAGTGCGGCGAGCCGCACGAGGGCCTCAGCTCCTCCTCCGCCGCCGCCGCCTCCGCCGCGGCGCCGCGGCGCGCTCCGACTCTCCTCCTCTTCGGGGCCGGGGCGTTGGCGTCGGCCTTAGCGACGACGGCGGGAACGGGAGCGGCCGCCGCGGCCAGGCCGGCCCGAGCAGCTCGGGTCCTCGCTCCGGCCCCCGCGGCGTCCATCACCGCCACCGCCGCGCTTCCCCTGCACTTCCTCACCATCTCTCTAAGCCTCTCACTCGCTCTCTCTCCCTCTCTCTCTCTCTCTCTCTCTCTCTCTCTCTCTCTCTCTCTCTCTAGGAACCCGAAGCCTGTAGGTCTGCGCGACTGGCTGCGTCCATTTTTGTTGAAGGAAGGAAGGAAGGAAGGAAGGATTCCAGAGGTGGTGGTGGTGGTGATGAGCACGACGATGGGTAGACAGATAGAGAGAGGGAGAGAGATTTGGACGGTGGAGATACGTTCGGGGTTTTATTATAGGGGGGGGGGGGCGGTGGTCCCGGGGCTCCGTCAACAATGACGGGGAATCTGCAAACGGGAATTTTGACGGCGCCGTTATGCGGATCGGGCCCCAGCACCCCCGTTCCCCTCTCGAAATCGCGCCGGTGGTCCAGCCAATGAGGGCCCGACACGTGGGCGTGCCGAAACTGGCCCCGAGAGGGAGAGGGGAGAGGGAAGGCGAGGGGCAATGATTGGATAGAAGGAATGTGGAGCGCCCGATCCAACAGTCGGTGTGGGAAAAATAAAAATAAATAAATAATAAAATGTATTTTCCTTTTTTTTTTTTTTGCGTGCATAAATACCGACGGGTCACGGAATTATAAGGCGGGGGGAGCTAAAAATCGTGCGGCTCGCCAACCACGGAGGTTGCGCGGGGAGAGTTCTCGGCCGTCGGATGTCGTCTTCAGGACACGGATAACTGCTCTTGGAAGATTGAACGGTCGATTAGCCCGTGTCTCCCCCGAGAGCATTTACTACCTCGCGCGGGGGAGATCCTTAACTATTTTTTAACTTCTGATGCGCAGGGCCGCGCGAATTTTTCACGATCTTGGAGTTTCGGACGGGGTTGAACAATAATTGAGCATTTTCGGAACGTGTATGGATAACGAAACCATTATCATACTACCCGGAAGAGTTACAATACAGATCTCCAACGCCCTTCTTCGTTTGAAAAAAAAAAAAAAAAAAAAAGGGCGTAGAGGAAGTGTTTATCCGTACAAATGATCTTGGTACCCTTTGGTGTCCTTTACTAAGTTACCCTCGATACGTAGTGTTGTCATTGTGCTGGCATGATAGAATTTAGTGCATCGAAGACCGTAAAGTAATTTTAATTAATTGCTCAACAAGTTTTCTTGGAGAATTCTTTAACGGAATCTTTCGAATTTATCTTAATAAGTCAATTCCCTTATTAATGTGGCAAGTTGCATCGTAGAGACACGGGAGTGCTGACTTTGGCGGATCTAGGGAATTGAAGTAGTTTCCTATGTAATATTGTGGGATAATGACACAAACAGTCCATGAATTTTGGCTCAATGTGTAATTTGATACATGAACTTTTCATATAGTTCAGGGACTGGATTGAACACGTATCAAAAGTTCAGGGATGTCATTAAACAAATTAAAAGTTTAGGGACCACATTGCAAATTTTGCTAAAGTTCGAGGACTACATTGAACAAATTAAAAGTTCATGGACCAAATTGCATATTGAGCTAAAATTAAGGGACTGTTTGTGTCATTTTTTCTAATATTTTATATAACGATCTCGTAAAATTGGCACTCGAAAAAAAAAGAAAGATCGAGGTTTGAACTTTTTCGAAATTCAAACATCGAATAATTTCCCTCCATACACATCAATGACACCCTTCATTCTCTATCTCAAAGCTACACCGAATGTATAAGATACTTTCTTTTGGAGAGATAGACCGTTGTCCATCGTCGTTGTCCATTAAACGCGATTTCAACATCTTCTCAAACGTGTAATTAATGCCTCATCACATCATCATACAAAGCAAATCTACGAAATGTCTTTGGTTTTATGATCACCCGCCGTGTTGTCAAAGATTCAATCATCACACCCCATTTCCAATACTTCTTTCGAAAATCACACACCTAATCGACATTAGATGACACCACATTGATTTGGGACTTGACACGGGATGACGCACGTGATAGATTTTGTCCTGCAATCTGTCTTGGGTTTTGCTAAGTTATTGAAAAGCAAGAAAGAAGGAGAGGTTAACTTTTCACGAAGGGTATGAGTGAAAATCTAGACAACATCCATCCAAACAAGAGCAAATCAACAATGTAAATAACGGGTTTTCAAAATCAGGCCTGTACCGATACTCTCTACCTTTGCTTTGGATGACACGAGGCATAGGTGCAGAGGCCCGAGTACTTTGTGCAAGCTCACCGGGCGATTACATTCGGGAATATGGTCCCCTTTAGCCCGTGCAAGTTGCTTGAGTCAGATCAGGTTGCACACGGTTAGTCGGATTTGAATGAGTAGCCTCTGGCTTGAGACGCTCTCTCACCAACAAAATTTCGATTATCAAACGTTTCGATTTTTGACTTAAAAGTAGCATTACTAGCATTGTTAGCAAAAGACAAGGAATGTTTTGTAAGTCCTCCCAAGAGCTTCCTACTCCACGCTACCGTTCGCAAAACTCAAAAGAACTTTGGTCAATCGCGTAAACATGTTCGGACACCAATGTAGTCGCAATCCCACAATGATAAGCGGCCATGCAAGTAAAATCAGATTTCTTCATGCATTTACTTACTTGTGTTTTCCTGGTATCGCCGGTCAAGAAATATCCCGAGCTAATTTCCGTGCCCAGCCCGTCTCCCCAATCGTTAGCAAGCAATCACGTCCGTCGTCTACACCGTTATGGGGGGTGTATCCATGGAACAATGGCGGTCCGATGAGAGGGCTGGTGGCAACAGTTGCCCCCCCCCGGATCACTTGATGATGTTCCCAAAATTAAGCATAGCAAAAGCCCTTTTATTTCCTTCCCCTAAGTATGATTTTCGCGTCTGCCACCCTACACGAGCAATTACTTCCTCGCGGCCTAGCCTCCCAAGCTAATACCGGACAGGAACCGAACGCGAGACGACGTCGCGTTTTCCACAGAGGTACAAAGCACCAACCTTTTGATTATCCTACTCCCCCTCCCCCCAACGCATTGGATTCTCCATGCATTATTGCAAGAGAGCTTGGTCCAAGCGCTCGAGAAGGAGCATAGAGAGAGAGAGAGAGAGAGAGAGGAGGGGGGGCATAGCTTTGGCCTATGTCTTTGACTATTGGAAACCGATTTTGGCAAACAAGAAAGGGACTGGGCACTGCCTTCGAAAACAACCTCTCGTCGTGTGGAATTGGAGGAAAATCAACGATGGGACTACCAAATAATACGCAAGAGTCTCGTTTGGCATCATCTCTAGCTGCTGTCCGTTATGTTTGATGCTATATCTCGTGTTGTGTTGCGATCTAGCTATGGCTATATAAGGTATTGGACAATACCCTTTTTTGTGCTTTTTCTAAAACTTCCAAAATTATTGGAAAAAAAGAGTTATAGAAAAAAATTGGGGATATTGTTGTTCTCTGTAAAATTTGAGGTCTTAAAAGCTCTCGTAAGTACCTTACAAAAACTTGCGTAACTTCGCTTTGTATGCGTTTCGCATCTCTCGCCCGTTGAGATGAGCATCAAGTCACTTGCTACAAATAAAACTCCTGATTTCAACAGCGGTAGACGTGTAGGAAAAGGGCTTGCGCTGCCTATGGACCTGATATTTATTCTCATGTCCTTAGAGAGCCCAACTCAAAAGCTTAAACCTATAAGTGGAGGGAGATCTCATGTATACAAAGAGTATATAAACCCTATGTAAGCCGGATTAGGGACGGAACGTGTGGAATTGGACGAACAGGGTTCCTCGCACATACGAAATAAACAAGGGCAACTCTAATACCAGGTTAAAAAGTCCAATTCAAAAGTTTAAACCTACGGATAGAGGAAGGACGCATGTATACCGAGAGCGTATATGTTGGGAAAACCTCCTAATATATTTTGTGGTTAATAAAACTGTTCATGAGTATTTTGTAAGTCTGATAAATGCCTTGAAGTATTTTGATTCAGGAAGTTATTCCTGGAAGAGAAGCATATGGCAATCTTGTTCAGATTGTGAAATTACTTCAAGATAAGAGATTCAGACTTTACACTGCAGATGAAGAGGTTCAGACTTTATACTCAAAGAGGTTCAAACTTTACACCAGAGATGATGAACTACGGACACAAGTTCAGAACGTAAGTCCAGAACGTAATTCCAGAACGTAAAGTCCAAAACGTGACACAAGTTTAGAACGTAAATCCATAACGTAAAGTGTAGAACGTGACACGTATTCAGAATGTACATAACGGTTGGTAATCTAGATTGGATTTTACACTTAAAATAAATTGATTGACTCAATCTTGAAGATTGTTTTACAACGGTTTAATATGCAAAACATCTTGATTGATTGGCAATCAATCTCGAGACAAGTCACTTTCCAAGCGAAGAAGCTATACTTATGAAAACCAAGACTTTGGTTGCATGGGTGACCAGATTCAGTGGAGATTCAGATTTTGTCCCTCAACGGCTATGTAATCTTCTTGATACAATTCTGTCCGACAGGTAGATTGGAAGACGATTCTCTGGAGACTGTCCAACGGCTAGATTGGAAGTGGAGGAGTATAAAAGGAGACCAACGTGCCAAGGAGCAGAAGTAAGAAATGAAGTCTAGAATCTAGAATTCCAAATTCAAACATTTATACTTGTCTTCTGTAAGCTTAAACATGTAATCATTTGAAAGGTGTAAACAGTGTTATAAGTGTGTGCTTAGGTGTGAGATAATGTGATTTATCGGCTTGGTATAAGCAGCACCAGCTTCGAGGAGAAGTGCTAGGGTTTAAGCGGCACAACTTGTTGTAACTTCTCATTGATTTGATTAGTGGAATCCAGCCAATAGGTTGTCAGCGTGGGAGAGTGGACGTAGGCTTGATCTAAGCCGAACCACTATACGTCTTGTGTGCAAATTTTATCTTCTCTTGAAAACTCATTTTATTTAGTTAATTGCACATTTACTTATTTGCCATTCAAAGATTGTTCAAAATATGAACATTGTTCAGACTTTATCCATGATCAATTATTTCCGCTTTAAATTGATAAAAAAAAAGTACTCAAATCACATATTCATCCCCTCTCTAGGTGATATTTGCTAGTCTCATCAGTATAAACCCCGTATACAAGCGGGCATGGAAGTTGACATGAGTTTGGGAATGATGGAGGAGTACATAGGGAGGGAAGTGGGAGAGACAAAGGAAGGATGGGGCATTAAATTTAGGGCCATAACGGCATAATGCGAGTTAGGTAGTATTTGAGTGAATGCGTTTCGTTGGTAAATATTGT